GGAAGGGCACCTATATCTCTGGACGCTGCACCTCTCACCTGCACAGTCAGAACTTGAACTGGACAGGTTTCTAAGTTCCCTTCTCACCTTGAGTGTCCCTGAAAGTCTTGGTGACCACTGATGACTATGTTAGATTACTACTAAATTCAGGCACTCGGCGGTGACCACCACGCAGACCGGACTTTAGCTCACTCGCAACTCACTCTGCTTCCTCTGCAACCGTGTCTGACAAACCCGATATGGGTGAGACTGAGAAATTCAATAAGTCGAAGTTGAAGAAAACAGAAACGCAAGAGAAAAATCCACTGCCTTCAAAAGAAACGATTGAACAGGAGAAGCAAGCAGGTGAGTGGTAAATGAGGCGTGCATCGCCAATATGCACTGTACGTTCCACGAGCATTGCCTCCTTATTTTACTTCTTTCAGCTGTTTAACTTGGTAAGATGCAAATAGGTTGGATCAAGTTTAAATGACTGTGCTGCCCCTTTTCACATCAAAGAATGGAGAACTACTAACAACAAAGGCCGCGCCTGCCTCTCCCGTCCGCCCGCCTGTCTGGATGGCAGGGAAGGAAAAGAACTTGCATGTTGGTGAAGGAGGAGGCTGGGTGGGACGACAGTGAAATCTAGAGTAAAGAGCAAGCTGGTCCACAGTGTCCTGCGGGCTGTAAAATGCAGTTTAATCAGAGTGCCATTTGTTGTTGTTGTTGTTCAAATGATTTTAATTATTGGAATGCACAATTTTTAAAAATATGAAAATAAAAAGTTTTAAAACCTGAAAAAAAAAATTACTACCAGGTCTGTGTTCTCACTTAACTATGAGGCTATCAGACCTAAAGCACCACCACACAACTTTAGAAAAGAAAGCAAAAGACAATACACTCCACTCTTAACCATCTCCGGCTAGAAGAAGAATCTGAAAGGCATCTCTCTCTGACAAGTTTGCATCTTTGTGATGCATCTTCCTTATTTTTTTTGCACATGCCCCGTCTGATGATGACATTCCGAAAGTCTAACACTCCAGTTGATCTTCACTCTCCAACTTTACACTATTTGATGACAGGGAAGCAGCACATAAGTTGGGTTGTGGGGAAAGTCACTGGTCATTCACAAAGTAGAAAACCCAAGCAACCACCACTGAGAATTAATATAAGTGCAGTTTACAGAGGACTGATGTATTGCTCCTTTGCTATAAGAAACTCGTTTTGAGGCCAGTGACCCTGATCATTGTTTAATAAGGTTGATGGTTTTTAAAAATTATCTAACAGAGGTTTAGTTTAGCACCTGAACTCTCTCATTTGCTTAATCATCTCCCTTAAGCATATTTGTATTTTTGATAGCAGCTATAATGTTCTCTTTACTAATTCACATCATTAACCAATTCCTGCCTAACTGTTTCTTTGTCCCTGCTGGTTTTCTCTAATTCCTAGTTTTATCTTCCTGAATTCTGGAATCTCTATCTGATCTTAACTCAGCAGCAGCCTTCTGATTGCCAAACTATTGATACAAGAACAGAAGGCAGGGCTTCCTGGGCCATCTAGATCTGCTTCTGAGCCCCTGCCAACCTCTGCCTGCCTTCGCCCACCTTTTAAAAAGGTATATACTAGTCATAGTTTCTGCTTGCTGACCAAATGTTGTCTATGATATTGTAGTAGGTTGGATAGACCCCCCTGATTTCATGTCACCACACAAAACCTCAGACTGTGACCTTTTTTGGAAATAGGGTCTTTGCAGATGTAACTAAGGTAAGGATTGAGGTGACATCATACTGAATTAGGATGAGCCCTGAACCCAATGTGAGTGTCCTTTTAAGAGACAGACAAGGACACACACACCTATAGAGAAGGAGGTGATGCGAAGACAGAGGCAGAGATTGGAGTTAATGCTGAACAAGCCACCAGAAGCTGGAAGAAACCAGGAAGGATTCTCCCCTTGAGCCTTCAGAGGCAGCACAGCCTGCCCGCGGCTTGATTTCAGACTTCCGGGTCCCTGGAACTGTGAAAGAACACATTTCTGTTGTTTTAAGCCACCAAGTTTTTGTGTGGTCATTTGTTATGGCATTTCTAGGAATGTAATACACATAATTTTACAATTTTCCTTCTCTTTTTGTTTTGTTCTTGTTATTATAGAAGAACGATTTTTGTCCCTGCGTAAAGACTGGGATACTCTGGGTACTGTCACGTTCATGGCAACCTCAGAGGCAGGATAGAGGAAGGAGCGTCGCTGAAACAGGAGTTACGACATTAGCACTCAGGAGGCCTGTTCAGGGAAGGGCAGATGGGTGGGTGGCTCGTCTTGGAAACCACCTGAACCTTGGGCCTCATCCTTGTGTCTTACCTTCAAGGCTCCATCTGCAGTGACTCTTGTCCTGTCCCCCACCTCTTACCTGCTGGGAGGCCCCAGCAAAACACTGCATCAGGCTTTTGTAAGAGAAGCTGATAAAAACTTATCTGTGACTTCCTTCCTACAAACTTGAAATAACTTTCAGTTTTCCTCCTGATGACAGAAGTAATATGTGCTCCTTGTAAAACAACACCAACAGATAAGAGAGAAAGGAAATAGGAACTTGAAATCACCTAGAATTTCCCCACCCAACATAGTATGCACACCTGTATTTATATTATTTTATAAAAATAATTTTTATAATTTATATAATACCATATGTAAGTTATATAACAATTTTTATAAAAATAATTTGTTTTTGTAACAAATTGTTTTTGTAACTGCTTTTTAAAAACCACTATAAGCAAATATAGTTCCACACTGTCATCTTTATAAGCTGCAAAATATCCCAGAACACAGATGTGCCTTGATTTAGTTAAAGAGTTTACTACTGATAAATGTTTAGGTTGTTGTCATATATTTTCACTATTATAAACAAATTTACAATAAACTTCTTTTAGACATAATTTTGGGCACATATCTGATTATTTCTATAGCATGAATTCCCCCCAATTTTTGAGTCAAAGAATATAAACTTTTAGAGGAGTTAGATATAGTCTGCCAATTACTCTCCCGAAAGGACCATGTATGATGACTTTCAGTCCTTTTCATCAATATATCCTAATTTTGAGTTACAGTAAATATTCTCTAATTTTCTGAATAAAACTATCATAACCTTGCTGTTACTAACATCTGGATTAGAAAGGATCTTAAAAAAAAGAGTTTCATACAGTAACTGGAATTTTTTTGGAGTGCATTTTCCTTCAGTTGTCTCCTTTCTCCCTTTCTGTCTTATTTCTGTTTGAAAGTGCTTTGTGATCACAGTGTGTTATTTACTACTTTGTGACTCTTACAAGCATCGATTAACCATGAACATGACTCACCCTGATGTATGTCTTTCTTAATTCAGTGGTAAGTGCACTTTCCCAATTCCGTTGCTCTAAATATCTCCAAACCTTCAGGACTGCCAGAATGAGTTAGGAAGAAACAGTATCTGGATCTGTTTCCTACAGAAGTGTCAATATTTGCTAAAACAAAGAGCTGGGACTACCCCCAATGGAACGCCATCTGTCCTTGTCTTTGAGAGGCTGCAGGAAAATCCTTTCACAGCCAAGAGATGGTTATTTGGCATAACTGATACTGAAATTCAGCAAGGTGGCTTTCAGAGGTGAAACAGGCTGATAAAGAGAGACTTTGCTGTGTGAAAACGGGAAGTTTAGAAATGTGTTTCAGTTTTGAATCTATAAACTAAGGATTATTTACTTTACCAAAATATTTCCCATAGGAATCTTTTAATCAGCACGATCACCTAGCTGACTTAAACATTCCGGTCATGAACATGTTATTTTCTTGTACAGCTTTTCAGGAAGTAAGCAGCTGGTAAGATGAGACACAGCTTCCTTCTCAGAGTCTCATTACTTCAACCATGCTGTTTCTTAAGCAGATAAGCTCCCTACTTTGTTCTACGATATATGGAAGCTCAGTTCTGTTGCAGTTTTAGGGTGGAGGCATAAGACACAGAGTCCAGCTTCTGAAGTATGGTTAGTTGCCTGACTCGGGTTCCAAAGGAAACCTGGTCACCTGGCTTCCTTTGGAGAAAACCCAGATTCCTTTGAATAGCAACCTGAAGAATAATTGAAGAGATCATCTCAGGTTGGAGTGAAATTCTTCAAAATACATTCGACGGCTTTCAGGGCCCAGTCCTCCTCCAGAGCGCTGCTCAGTGGGATGTTTGCCACTTAGAATTTCAGTCCATCTGTGTAGTGTCCAGCTCTCTCCTGAGAACACATTCATTTGGGAACCTCGAACATTCCATAACATTCTTATGATTCCCCACTTTATCCAGCTATGTCACTTCTTCCAAGTTTATTTCCAGCAGATGCTGCCAGTCCTCAGTGGGACCTTCACCTAATCTCCTTCTTCTCAGGAAGAGAGCAGTCATCCCAGCCTCAAGAGGGCTGTAGGCCACCTCCTCTAGCTGTCCCTGCTGTAGGCTGGAATGAACCAGGAGGGCAGATCTTCCCACACTGCTCTGCATCTTGGCCCAGGTTAACTAGATCCAGCTAAACCAGAGGGTCTTGGCCACTACGGAAACATATTTCAGCCCCCAAAGATACATGGGTATGTTTCTCTAATGGCTTTTTATATGGACTAGATTTATGCATTCATTCAATACATACTTAGTGAACATGACTATGCGTCAGGCATTGTTCTGAGAACATGTTTCTGTGAATAAAACAAAGCCCCAGGTTTAATAGAGTCTGTAATCCACTGGGGGCAGACAGACAATAAATAATTTATCAGAGGGTGATACATGCTAAGAAAAATAAATAAATAAAGCAGGGAAAAAGTGTTGAAGGGGAGGAGAGTGATGGTGGGTGTACGGTGCACACAACCATGTTACATAAGGAGGGAGACATGGAAAGTCTGACCTGCAGGAGGTGAGGGAGAGCACCAGGCAGTTCAGTGGGGAAAAGCATAGCCCAGTTAGTGAGAATAGCAAGTTCGAAGGCCCTGAGGCAGAAGAGCACCAACTGTGTTCAAGGAATAAGGGGAGGCCATGCGGAGGAAGGGAGAGCAGTACCCGGTGCCAGCTCACGCTGGACATGATAGCATGGTGAAGATTCTGTATTTTACTCTGAGTGGGATGGGAAACCAGCAGAAGATTGTGAACAAGAAATTAATACATGTAAGACACTTCAAACACTGTGCACAGTAAGTACTGAAAATTCTAGCTTTTGTTTTTACTTTTCTTGACTCTAAAGGTAACTAACTTCCATTCTGCATTATGAGAATGATAATTTTTAGCCTAAAATATGGCACAAAGGATAGAAGTCCTGATCTGACAGATCAGATTTGTGGTTACCAGTGGCCAGGGGTGAGGGGAGGAGAAATTGGAGGAAGATGGTCAAAAGGTACAAACTTCCAGTTATAAGATAAATAAGCACTAGGGATGTAATGTACCACATGATCAACATAATGAGCACTGCTGTGTGTTACAGATGAAAATTGTTAAAAGAGTAAAGCCTACGAGTTCTCATCACAAGGAAAAAGTTTTTTTCTATTTCTTTAATTTTGTATCCATGTGAGATGTTTACTAAACATATTGTGACAATCACTTCACCATGTAAGTAATCAAATCATTATGCTATGTATCTTAAGCTTATCTGTATAAGTGCTGTATGTCACTTATATCTCAATAAAACTGGAAGAAAAAACCTCATTAATATTGAAAAATCCTGATCTTACAAACTTTAGGTCCAATTTTAACATCCTACATTTACAAAGAGGATTGATGATTAGAAAATTACCTCATGTCCAAGACTAGGTTCTTTTCATCTGCTCCTTGGCAATTTATTTTCTTTCTTTCTTTTTTAAAATTTATTTATTTATTTATTTGTGGTTGCGTTGGGTCTTTGTTGCTGCGCACGGGCTTTCTCTAGTTGGCAGTGAGTGGGGGCCACTCTTCGTGGCAGTTGTGGGCTTCTCATTGCAGTGGCTTCTCTTCTTGCGGAGCACGGGCTCTAGGGGTGTGGGCTTCAGTAGTTGTGGCATGTGGGCTCAGTAGTTGTGGCTCGTGGGCTCTAGAGCGCAGGCTCAGTAGTTGTGGCGCACGGGCTTAGTTGCTCCGCGGCATGTGGGATCTTCCCGGATCAGGGATTGAACCCGTGTCCCCTGCATTGGCAGGCGAATTCACTTTTTTTTTTT